GAAGATTCCAGGGTAGAATAGGTCTTCAGCAACCCATGATTGGCGTAAAAGGCGACTATGCTTGTCGTAAAAGGCATCTAACGGGATCAGGTGGTCAGGCTCGCTGACTTGGTTGATACATGTCATCGATCCCAATTGCGTGGATCGATGTTCATGATGTCAATCATTGGATTGTCTGGTCCAGACTCGATTATTTACAGACCGCCGGAATATTGCTGAGTGCAGCGTTAAACAACAAACCAACCAACCAACCAAACATCTAAAACCTGGATCACTTTGAGCATTCCTGCAACACCAAGCTGACAGGCTGTGATATAACTGAACTGAACAGACTTGCTGATCTGGTTGATGCATGTCATCGTATCCCAATTGCGTAGATTGATTCTCATGATATCAATCACTGGATTGTCTGTTCCGGGTTGATTAATTACAGACCGGCATCATATAGCTGGAATATTGATGACTGCGGTGTTAAACAACAAACAAATATGTTGACCTATTCTGACCTGGAGAAGATGGAAACCGAACTCAGTCAAGTGTCTGAGTGAGTTGAGTTTAGAACTACTTTCAGCAGTATTAGATTATATCAGGACATGTCTGCATAAAGATATCCGGGATAATGCTTTGGTGAAACCCATCACTACTTGTGTGGTGCTGACAGTGTGATTGGATTGAAACCCCGATACCTCTTAGGTGAAACCCATCACTACTTGTGTGGTGCTGACAGTGTGATTGGATTGAAACCCAGATACCTCTTAGGTGAAACCCATCAACACTTGTGTGGTGTTGACAGTGTGATTGGATTGAAACCCCGATACCTCTTAGGTGAAACCCATCAACACTTGTGTGGTGCTGACAGTGTGATTGGATTGAAACCCCGATACCTCTTAGGTGAAACCCATCAACACTTGTGTGGTGATTACAGTGTGATTGGATTGAAACCCCGATATTTCTTAGGTGAAACCCATCACCACTTGTGTGGCGCTGACAGTGTGATTGGATTGAAACCCCTTAGGTGCGGTCGGGAAGCCTAATGGTAAAAGCGTTCGCTTGTCACACCGAAGACCCCGGGTTCGATTCCCGACATGGGTACAATCTGTGAAGCCCATTTCTGGTGTCCCCTGCCGTGATATTGCTCGAATATTGATAAAAGCGGCGTAAAACCATACTCACTCACTCACTCACTCACTCACTCACAATCTAGTTCAAATATCAGCTGAAATCATTACACACATATTTTTAAGATATCAAATCAGTTCAAGTATCAGAAGATGGTTTAAGACGACATAATACATAGTCATTCAAGTGTCTTACTGTGGTTTTAATACGCCCATACATTGAAATTCACTCCTGGAAATTGTCCTATTATATGTTGCATTTTCTCTTTATATAACCCGATGAGATCCCTGGTTAGGAAAAGTCCCGTGAAGATTCCGGGGTAGAATTGGTCTTCAGCAACCCGTGCTTGTCGTAAGAGGCGACTGACCCGTGAAGATCCGGGGTACAATAGGTCTTCAGCAACCCATGCTTGCCGTAAAAGGCGACTATGCTTGCCCTAAGAGGCGACTAACGGGATCGGGTGGTCAGACACGCTGACTTGGTTGATGCATGTCATCGATCCCAATTGCGTGGATCGATGCTCATGGTGTCAAGCACTGGATTGTCCGATCCAGACTCGATTATTTACAGACCGCCGTCATAAAGCTGGAATATTGCTGAGTGCGGCGTTAAACAACAAACAAACAAACCTGGTCAGAATAGGTTCCAGAGGTGCCGAGGGCCAGCGACAGGGGAGATTAAGAAGGATCTGATGGTCAGCCTTGGTGACTTCACAGGTCGCCTTGATAGAGCTGGAATACTGTTGACTGCGGCTTAAAACAACAACACAATTTATAATAACGTATTCGACGCTAATATATTGGCTAGTGATCAATTCCAATTAGCATCCCTTCCAATTGATCAATGTACGCAAGACTTATTTATTCGCGTATAACACGCACTCGTGTGTTATATGCATCCTTAATCTTAATTATTGGCAATTAAATTCTGGAAAAATATATCTGTCGTATATAAACATTTCAGGCTGTCAGCATAAAGCACGAAATTTATCTTTTAACTCTGTTTTTTTTCACCAAAATAATATTCTAATAAGACCCCCCTATTTCTAATTTTGAGAGCGCCTTTGGCACTTATTACGTCGAATACGGTATGCGCATTATCTGGAGAAAAATGTCCCGTTGGGGATGCTCTTGTATTGTTAGCATGACAGCTGATCTGCATGTATTTGCTGATTATTTCTTTTTTTTGACAATATTTGGTGTTTGGGTACAGTAGAATCTCCGATTACGTGTATCGACGAAAACTATGTTTTCAAGTACTTTCAGTTTTCCCCGATGAAAATAGTATGAAAATATCGGAGTAAGGTGACTTCAATAAAATGTTTCGATATTCGAGCAATATCACGGTGGGGGACACGAGAAATTGTCTTTAGACATTGGGCCCTTGATCGATCCAACGCTTTAACCATTAGGCGCCTTCATGCATGTACAAGATAAGCACTGCGAACAGTGCAGTGCTATGTAAGTAGGACATGAATTCAGTTTTTAGTTCAATTGCGAATTTAAAAAAATATAAACCGCCAACGACAGAGAATAGGCAATCTGGATCACCTGCCGAAGCAGATTCCACTGGGCGCAAAAGGCATGACAGTGATAAAAAACATATGGATGAATCAGTGAAAATCAACTTAATACCTGTCACATGTCTCAATGTTATAGAGGTGACCAACACAATGGTGCACTGTAGAAACATAATAGTTCACCTCATTGTATCTGTCGCACGCCGAAACTCCATAACTGCCTGTATTTTCTAAATATATCCAGATTGTTTTTATAAAAATACTTTCACAGCATTGTCAAGTTTACAGGTTAATATGAAATGGTAACCATTTTGAATTTCTTCTTTTATAAGGACAAAATTATCACCTTCTGAATCGATTGCGCTCTCTGACCTCAAACATTTTCACAATAACAGACATTTCAAAGTAAATGTCGACAATGCATTGTTGAAGATGTAGAGGGTGACAGTAAAGCGTTCTTTGTTTTCTTCATAGCTTTGGCCGAGGTGAGCTAACGATGGATCCGAGTTTCTACCAATCAATCCTTGTTTTCTAGGGTGTCTTTGTAGGACGTAACTATGGACACGTGTGCAGTAGAGAGTGGCATGGGGTCGCATGCATCTGTACGGCAGACGTCAGAATGACTTGGTGATGACCTAGGCATCAAACTATTGGATCTGCTGAAGGACTCCGAACCTCAGATCAGATACCCTCGACATGTTTGGAGACAAATTCGTTTTTGTGTTATGACTTAAAAAACTCTGCATACAAATCTGTCACTCAGCACATTTTTCTCAAAAGTGATGTTTAGTGATATTTTATATTTATCCCTCAAAGAGTTCTTATAAATAGAGCTGTCCACATGCTTCAGTTGGCTCTTCAACACAATGTCAGTTGAGAAGCTTGTCATTTTATGGATAACTGAGAATGACGCAGGCAATTTGGAAACGATTTTGTACTGGCAGTAAAAATAACTCAAAATGCCTCAAAGTGATGCACCAATGCCCCAGAACGATTTCCTTTATAAGCCTAGCTTGTATTTTACAAGTATCTATACATTCTATTCTGTTTGCACAGCTTCTGGTAGTAAAACAAATAAAAATCCTCGTATAAGGTGCCAGATTCCTTACGAAATAGCGTTGGATAACTTCAGAAAACGATGTGCTTTGTCACCTGTATATATATAACATGCTTAGACTTGTCAAAAAATACAAATCTCTATGCAGAAATAGAAGATTAGCTAATTAAATGTAACTTCCCAAGTAAAAAGGCATGGTCTGATATTGTTAAGGAAAGGATTATTTTAGCAGACCAGGAAGCTGTATGCTCTAAGCTGCTATCTAGACTTAACTTAAATAGAAATGTTTCGCTACGTAATGATAAAGAACACAGACTCTGGCTACTTGCACTTGAACGTCCTGAACAGTTCCCAAACCTGTCTCATCTTGTACGGCTGGGATGCCTAAATATAGAATCTAGGGAATGTCGATGTAGAATTGTAGCTCATGATATTATTAAGCATGTCTTTTTGTATTGTACATTGAATATGAATGACAGAAATGAACTATTTGAAATCATTTGTGATGTGATAGATGTCTCTACATTTGCAAGACTATGTAGTGAGGAGGATGATATAATCCTGTCTGTACTACTTGGCGGTATGCCTGAGTGTGTTAGCTCTTTATCTCAAAGTCTATGGGGTGACCTTATGGTTATTGTGTCAAGATACTGTAGGAAATGTCTGTGTCTGTTACAAAACAGTTATAAGAATGCTTGATTGTCATGCATTTTGTAGTTATCATTTCTCATAATATTGTTAAATTGTACTACTGTACAGCTCTGTAATGATACATAATATCATATATGATATGTATCTTCAATATCTGGAGGAAATCAAGAATATCTATCTATGAAGCCCTGGAATGTTTAACAGTAACATTACTAATTGATCATTGTTTTCTATGGTGCCCTTGAAGAAAGTCTACATGGACAGGCGTCAGAATAATTTGGATCGTATTTTACTCTGTAGAAACCAGCGAGCGAAGGTTTGTGATGACAAACCAAGGCTTCTAAATGTGCAAAAGGACTCTGCGCCTAAGACCACCGTATCCTTGACATGTTTGTAGACATCTATTATGTGCCCGATTCCATTCACCAAGTGAATGCTGATGGTGTTACATTATTATTACGATCGTTGAATCAGTGTGCGCTCCATGGGGAGTATACCAACCAAGCTGTCGTATGAAGCGCTTGAAGCTTTAAAGGTAACATTACCATCTCATCCTACCGGGTATCCATACACTGCTGGGCGAACAGAAGCTGTACTTTAGTAACAACTTGTATAACAACTGCAAACATTTATTACTATATAGGTGGTGTTTTCAACAATTCACAAAACATACTTCTAGATTTCCCTTTAAAGAAAGTCCAGCCTTACAATTCGTCAGAGCTGTTAGTTCGCTGAATGGTCGCCTGACTGTTGAGTGATATGCTCGTGGTAGAACGAGGTACGTCCCGTTCTATCTGGCGTAAGCAGGCAGCAGGTACGAGAATGACCTTGACCTCATGTCGGAAGGCTTCGTACACGGCGGAGTAGATGATGACGTTCATGAAACTGTTGCTGTTGGCCAACCACAGAAACGTAAACTGAAGCTCCTTCGGGATGTGTATGCTGGGGTCAAACGCCGACATTATAACTGAGGCAGAGTAGGGGCCCCAACACATGAAGAACATCCCTGCGGTGATGCTGAGAATCTTGACAGCCTTGACGTCCCTCCTGGTTCGTTGCCTGGATATGGAACTCCCTGCAGTCACAAATTCAGATGTTTTGATCCTCACAACTATACTGACTGTTGTGAACAAGATTATACTTCCTGACAAACACGGAATGGCCATCCCAGTGATTATGCAAAATAGGGGGTACTCCCAGTATAAACCACACATGCCCTCATTAAAGTTGAACCTGTAGTAGATGAAGTCTGGCTTGGTGAGGATGACAGACGAGAAGGTTGCAATCGCAAGCACCCAACATGATACAAGTCCAACATAGCATCTTCTGGTTGTGACGAGCGAGGGGTAGTGCAGCGGTTTCATGAGAGCAATGTATCGGTCAATACTCACGATCGAGAGACTCCATATTGATACAGTGACCGAGGTGCCATGGGTCACTCCCGCGATCTGACACCACACGTCTCCGTAGGGCCAGTAGCCTAGAACTGCAGACACAACACACGGGGCACACGTCACCAGACCCACGGACAGATCTGCAATACTTAAGTTGGTCAAACACAGTTTGGAAATGTGAGGTATGGTCCTGGTTCTTCGGAGGATGGATATGTTCAGAATATTGGACGTAATCACGAAGAATGACACAGAGAAGATTATTGGAGTTCGAATCCAAACTGACACGGAGAAACCCTCTTGAACAGATGATATGCCTTCGGAGACATTCGTCAAGTCGTTTACTGTTAACATTTCATCCATCACTGACCACGAAACCTTTTTTTCTTGAAATCAACTTGAAATAAATAGAGTCCAGATAATGATCCTGCCACCAAAACCCCTATGAAATGTTTTTCAACTGTACAGCTTATTGCTGGAGATGATTAACAGCAACCTCCAAGATTATGGTTAAATCCCTGAACAGATAACAACGAATAAGCTATACATCCATTGGACATGTGTGATTGGATATGTCTTGATAGCGGATAATTAACTTCCGTGGGAAACAATCTTCAAGAAAAGTAATTACGATATACAAGGCTTAAACAAAATACTTTCTCCGCGATATCAGCTAGATGTATTTCAGACGAGCCTAATTGCATCTTTGTTGGAATTAAGAAGGCTAAGCTTTTTCCGGATCCATGCAAGTATGAATGAAGCAGATCACCCTTTCTGAGAGTTCTATTTCTAGCTTCAGAGAATTCAATGTAGATATTTTTAAAGACAAAATGAAAGAAACTACGGCAAATTTGATAATTTTCACTGTTATATTTCGAACAAAGCTGGTTAAATATGCAATATATTATTAAATGTATTTTTTATCCACACGTGTATGAGAAGGCGTGAAAATATACATTGAATGCAAAAAAATGGTTTATCTTTTTGTAATCATTCAAAGCGAAGTTGTTTATCATTGTGAATGGTAACATAAACTTGTTCAGTTTTATATCATACCGCATACAAATATATTTACATGAAATTATAATACTGGCAAATAAAACATGTATGTATTGTCAAATTAATATTAGAGATATCGACGAAATTTCAGATTTCACGCTCAAATATCAAAAAGAAATTCTTACGTTTTCAAGTTGTTTGTTTATACAGAACTGTTCCTTTGTTGACTAATATAATATGTCATTCACAGGTCTTGTTAGTTGGCGTCCTTTCTGTGAAATGGGAAACGAGTGGCAGTGATGGTACTATACACTATATCTCGGTCAGGAGTTTCACTGGTTTCACGCTAAATGTCTCCACAGAACACACATAAAATCGATATTTCTCTGATTTCAGACGCCTTGGTAACAGCAGCATTCTGTTTCCATCCACTCCAAAACTCTATATTTTATACTTTAAACATCACAAGCACGAGACATCCATAAAGAAACTTGATAAAAACTTGTTTCCTTTTGTTTCACGTTTCACACCCGACCTGCAATCTTGACACCCTCTTCTCTGATGATGAACACTGTCATTACAAACTTGTATCTGTAGAATTGTCAACTCAGATCAAACGTCAACAACCAAATATATAATTTATGAATATTTCACTATCTTGTCCAGTGACATCAGTGTCTAATCAAGTGTCCAAGTGTCAACGACTCCGATGACAATAAAATCAGAATGAAAGTTTATTCAAACAGCCATTACTGAGTATTTAAACAACTACATCCACCCGGCTTCCTCATGCCAGCCTTCTGTCGAGGTCATCGGAATTATTCAACGGTTAGTTACAACTTTCACTATGATTTCTTTTAAACTGAGTGGTTATTATACAACACATTCTTTTGGTAATCTTTCTCCTTTGCATCCACCGAGTCAATACTTGTTCGTACAAGAAACCGAGTCCATTCAATCTCTCTGAAGGTCTGCAAGAACTAGTTCACCAATCCTCACAGAAATATACATGACAGAGTGTCAAATTGTTCTGTTTCAGGGCTCGGCCATGGACTGTTTAGCATAGTAAACACATTCAGGTTTTCTTACTTGAAATGTCGGAGGATCAGAACAGCCACGGAGTGTCACAATAATGAGTGCGTTTGAACCGCTGCGCCGACTTGTATTTCTTCCTGGCGATTGTCGCCACTGTGTATTTTTGAGGCTTCCCGATCACCTTCAGAACTGCTGTCACAACGGAAGTCCATGTGCGAACAATCGATGTATTGTGCGTACTGAACAAAAACCACTCCGCTAGGAAAACAAAATAATTATCTCCAGTATTGTTATTCCATCCCGTTGTCTGTTTCCCGCGAGATATTACACCTGATACACCTTCACCACTTGAAAATGGTATCCAGTATTTAAACAACTGTTTTTCTGACAAATATATTTCCGCACTAGTGGTTGTTTGTTGTTTGTACAGGTTTTTTTCAGGACGATTGGAACTCGTTGTAAACAAAGGCTGTTCGTTTTATGACATTAGTCATTGAAATGTTCTTTGAAATGATAGTCTCTTATTCTGGATTGAAGATTTCGTTTGATTGCTTTCTCTATTACATTAATTAGAAAACAAAACGCATCTTTCACAATATCGGCACTCTGTGATGTGACAGTTTCATAAGAGATAATACACTGTAGTGAGCCGACAGTATCTTGCTGTGCTTGGTTAGCAGTGTGTGGAGTCATAAGACCGTCAGCTGCTAGTCAGGTACCCTTTCTCACTAATAATAACATCTATTATTCACTTTGATAGAAGTGTAGAAGAATATTGCAATCATTGAGTATATTGCCAAACATATTAGCAGCTCATCTGCGGAAACCAGGGACCTGTTCGATTTAGTGATTTAGTGATTCGGCAATGGTGTGGGGGATGAGTAGGGCTGTAAAGCAATAAGATCGCTTCGTTGAACGCGCTTTGGAAGTCTTGAGGGAAAACGAAAGGTTACCAAGATTCGTCCTATATATTATGAGGGATTGTTGTTAAAATCAATAGTAGTTAATCAGTATTATTTAGCCACAGTTGTATTACCGTTGTATAAAAAATAAAAGCGACAAAACCCCTTCCATAATCATAAGAAGACTATACCATGAGCATGTGTTTATGAATCACTATCGAAAAGTAAAGATACCAGACGTTCGCATAAGGTGAGCGAATCCTACCCCACCTGAGCACTCGTCACAAACACATGCAAAGGCAAGGCAAGTATTTACCTTGCTAGAAAACACGGAACATATGGTACAAGTCCCGGTTACAAATTTAGAAAAAGATCGATTAAAAGGATGGTATTCTGTTGAATAGTAAGGTCTTAAAGTGGCCCTTGCGAGGCCAGATACCAGGTGTTCGCGAAAAGGTGGGCGTATTCTATCCCACCGGAGCACCCATAATAAACACATGCAAAGGCAAGACAATTGTTCACCTGAAAAAAAAGACCAAGAATATATGGTACAAGTCACCATAATCTGGACAGGAGAAATAGGTGACTGGCATTATGATCACGTCGTTAGGTTAACATGCGAACAGTCAGGGATACGCATTTGGTACGGTCGACCTCTTCTGTCTTAGAAGATCAAAGAGGGTTTATCCTCAGTAAAGCTTTCAAAACGTTTTATGGTAGGCATATGGAGGACATTTCCAAATTTGATGCATCAGTGACAAAAATAATGCAATGCAATTCCTTATTTTGACTTGAACCATAAGTTTTAGGGGAACACTTGACTTTCCATTGCATGTGTTTGTGACGGGTGCCACTGGTGGGCAGGATATGCTCACCTTTTCGTGAACGCTTGGTTTCATCACTATTTGATAGTGATTCATGAACACATCCATTTGAAATTGACGGATTCGTATAATGGACTACTTTTATCAAAGATTTCATCTGAATATGAAAATGATTTTGTCGCTTCGATTATATTGTTTGGTTCCTCCCGTCGCAGAAATACATTGCGTGTTTTGAGGCAGTAACCGAACAACTATCCTGTCACTTACAAAAACATCAATGTCACAATCCATCAACGAGACTGCATCGACATTCCTCATGCAAAATCCACATAAAATAAAATGTAGTAATTACAAGTACGAGTCAGGAGATGAAATTGCTTCAAAGTAAAGGGTGAACTTAAAATAAGACATTGATTAATGTAGTAATGTCCGCAGGAAAAACACTTATGAAAGATACGACTCATTTTAGCATTTATGTTACAGTGAATGTAGATACAAAATCAGCGACAAAGCCCTTTCTATAATCATAAGAGATATCTGCTTCTAATATAGTCCATGGTCCATTCCGACAATATCATAAGCATCACTAAATAATCATGCTACCAGGCGAGGGTTTCCTGCCCCAAACGTGGCACTGTCACAAACACATGCAAAGGCAAACCAAGGGTCTAAACCATCAAATTAATGCGAGTTCCGACCATTAAACTAAAATGTGTTATGAAATTATGCTGTTGCAACACCTATGAAGTATAAAAACCAAAACGATCTCATGTATTGGAAAAACACCGAGAATGTTACCCCACCATATAGGATGGGGTATAAATAAGCTTGTTTAAAAAAACGGTTTTTTTCACGTCTCCCGTTTAAGATAATAGCAGGAAATGTCAAATGAAGAACAATCACATTTATATGTCTGGTCAACCGAAGAAGATTGTAATGGGTCCAAGTGTTTTTTACACGAGTTTATGTGATCTTTGGGGAGTAAATGGAGCGTGCTGTGAAGAACATTATTTAATCGCGGATGAACGGCAGTGTATTGTCTTTATTTGACAGTTGCAAAGAACCAAAACGTCTTATTAGGATACTTATATACTCTAGCCATAAACACAAACAAGGGCCATTCTGGAGCCCCGCAAAGGCCACTTTAAGACTATTCAACGGAATATCATACTTTTAATTGATCTTTTCCTAAATTTGTAAATGGGTCTTGTACCATATGTTCCGTGTGTTTTTAATCATGTGAATACTTGACTTGCCTTTGCATGTGTTTGTCACATGTGATCCGGTCGGGTAGGAAACGCTCACCCTTCCATGAACACCTGCTAAAGTGCAATTTATCAAAACATACAAGGGGGCCACGGGTGGCCCAGTCGTCTAAGGCGCTGCGATTCGCTGTGCAGCGTTGCGTCCCTTGGGCAAGCCAGAAACCTATGATAGTGGGTTCGAATCCCGGTTCGCCCCGATTATGTTTTTAGGTTTGTCAGCACCATACCCGTGCTCGTGGGTTTCACCGAAGTGATAAACGTCTAAGACCTGCATCACTTCGGGCTTTCCTCCCACATTAAGCTGACACGCCACGATATAACTGGAATAC